AAGTGCATTTAGACGAAACCAAGCTCAAATTTTATTTTGAATGGATAATTATTGATTACAAGTCTTTTGCAATGTATGTAAGGCAAAGAAAGTTTTCAAGTATATCGTTAAGACAGATATGACTATTTTACTTGATTTGTATTATTTCAAAATTAATTATGACATACAAACAAACTGTATTAGTAACACGATAGAATAGTGTTAAGAGTTACTCAATGACTGTTATCACGTATTATAAAAGTTCAAAAGAAAATTCATTTATCCCGTATGTTCAAAAATGTTATGGAGTTTAGTGTTCAAAATTTATGTCAAGGATAATGATCTTTTCTCTTTTTGTAAATGTCACAAAGAAATGAACAAACAAACTGTATATTATAGTTTAGAATACAACATTTTGAGTTGACTGAAATTCAGTTCATCTCTATGTGTACGGGGGGATCTGATGTACACATCATAAGTGAAAAATAAATTTAAATAGAAAAGAGTCATTCTTTTTCAGATGAACTTTTTTTCAAACCAATAGAACAAAGAGGTCTATGTTGACAGAAGTCAATTTATTATCTCAGCTAATCTGTGTACCTTATTGGATCTAGTGAAAAATCATCTATTTCATTCAGTTTCTATGAATAGATATCACATTTGAAATAGCATAATGTAACTAACAACAGAAAAATTCTTTCATTCACACAGAAATTATTTCAATTACTTAATTGTACATACTTGATTTTTATTTGTTGCATTTGCCGGTGTTTGTACGGTAGATGGCGTTGATTTTGATGGTACACTTGGTTTTTCCTGTTGCTTTGAAGTCGATTGTTGTTCTCCACCAGCTTTCAGTTGTGGATTTTTATGTACTTTCTGATCATCACTAACTTTTTTTAAATGAGATGTAATATCATTACCTAATGAATTAATCGAATTTAACAATTCATCTCGAGATTTATTATTGTCTTGAATTATGTTATTTGTTGTCAATAGAGATGATGGTGGTGGAGGTGGTGGCGGTGGAGCACCTCCAACAGTTTGCGGTGCATGTTGATTAGAACCAGTGGATGATTGACTAAATGAGAAAAAAAAATCATAAAATAAGAAATATAAAATTTGTTGTTAACTGACATTGTTGCTTTTTGTGGATCAAATTCTTGTTGTCCATGAGTTTGCCATGCTAAACCCGTTGTATGATATTGTTTAACATATTGTTGTAATTCTTGTAAAATTTTCAACCATAATTTAACCCAATTAACATGTGTTTCATCTTTATCTCTAAAATCTTTTAAAACACGATTTGTATAAAATTGACCAGCATCCGACATTTCTTTGATAAATGGATATGGAGCGGGTGAAACAGTGATCCATCCAAGAGCTGGTATTGATTCTGATATAGCAGATAAATGATTAAATAATGGTGACTGACGATGTTTTTCACGATGAGCTAGGAAATAGAAAATTTAAAAATGGAAAGATGATATTAGATGACATCATTTAAATTACACTGTATAGCTTGTATTTCATTTGACATAGATTTAATTGCTTCTCTAAATTCTTGTTCATTTGTCGGTTTTTTACATTGTATAACATATTGAATAAATATCCGTTGTAAATTAAATAATTTTAATAAATGATCATTTAACTCTTTTAAATCACCATTCAATTTTGTTGACAATTGTAAAAATTGTTTTAATGAACCATCGATAATTGCTGAATAATCTTGAATAATAGGTAAATTATCAATATGCGATCCGACACTATTACGGGTTAGTGAACTATTGTTACCACCAGCACTAACACCAAATTTATTTGCAACAGATTCTAAACGACTTGTAACATCTTCCAAACGTTTAACTATAGTTGATTCCATTTTTTGTTAAAAACTAATAACAGACAAATTATCTAAAACTAAATAGTCTCAACTGATTGATCAATAAACTCTGCGTATGATCATACAATACTATAAAGGTGTAAATGTTTGCGATTGATGACCTTTTGTTTCTGTTTTGTTCTTTTTTTTCTTCTTCTTATTTATTCGATCAGTATCATACATACAGAGAGAAAAAGAATGACAGCTTCTTTTCTCTATTTTCTGTGATTAATTTGAGTGAACAACTATCATCTTCTCTACATATATACAAACATATGCTATGATAAAAGTTCACGATCATATGATGGAAAAATCAACAAGTTTATCAGCTAACTATAATCATTTTAATGAAGAAGCAGAACTTACAGTTCGAATTCTCAACTTATTTTTCAGATGTCGATAATATAGTTCATCTTCAAAATAGTTGCAGATATGGCAAGTCAATTATTATTTAGAAAAATACTAACATTCTTAAAAAATTAAGCGATAAAGCATTGTTTTAACAAATGACATTTGTTCATCGCTAAATACTCTATGTTACATTTTTCTACCGTTATCTAAGATGTCAAACTCATGTAAACATGTATAGATCTAAGATCAAATGAAGCCGAACATCTTTTCATTTTTCCGTAAGAAAATATTCTTAGAAGTCTAGCGGATTTAAACAGAGATGAAAACTTCACGTACTTGTAGCTTTAATCTTATTCTCAACAGCAGCTGTACTGTTAATACTGTTGTTGTTGTTATTATTCAACTATATATCACTTGTATAAAGAATACTATTTTTGTCTTCTTCTTCTGACGATGGTATTCGTGTAGGCGTTGCCGAATACAGTGGACTAAATGATGTTATACAAAATGGTTTTCTTTTAATCGCAACAATTCCTAAAAACAGTGTAAGACATAATTTTTCTTTATAATCGACATTTTCAATGACAAAAATATACCATCATCATCCATGCGAGAGCAGAATAAGAAACATTGGCAATTAGATAGCAATATGATAGAGGAAGAATATTCCATAATCGAAAGAAAAAAAAAACAGAATAATACTAAGATGGAGTACGATATGCGCATTTCCAACATTAATAGCTTAAATTATATTTTTAGCAGAGAAAACTATGACAACGATAGAAAATATTTTGAAAAGTTATGTTAATGTGATTTAAAACTTACTTGAGTAATACTCTGAACAGCGGAAATACTCGAACTTTGAATTATTATTTAAGCATTGTATTGTACAGAGCAGGAAAAATTGAGTATAACAGACGGGTTTTGCAATTTAGACTTTAACTATTAAAACCTTTGCTTCATTCCACTAGGTGTTTCGGGCGTCCATTATCGGTAAAAAAGCGATGGGGTTCTTTCTTACTAAGTTTTCCAGAAAACTTGTTCGTCAAACGAAAGTCGTTCAAAAATCCATAAAAGAGCATCATCAAAGTTTTTATTCTGATGTAGTCTTCATCAATATATTTCAATCAACAAAATAATACCTTATTGCTCTGTATAACTCTATTTAAACGAATTAGAATAAAACTCTTATAATTCTTCGTCGAGCAGATGTCAATGAAATCTGATCATTTGGGCTACATTATTTCTTTTCGCCACTGTAATTTGCATAGTCATGATGTTTTTAAATTTCAAAATCCGTCTATTACTCAGTTTTTTCTTCTCTGTACGATATAATGCTTAGATTTAAATATAATAATTGAAAGTTAGAGTATTTCCGCTTTTCAGAGTATTACTCAAGGAAGTTTTAAATCACATTCACATAAATATTTTCCAAATTGATTCTTATGAACTTATCTCTATCGTTATCATAGTTTTCTCTGCTAAAAATATCACTTAAGCTATTAACGTTGAAAATACATCTATAATTTTGTTCACTGGAGAAATTGACAGCAACAAGAAATTTCACGTAGACAGTAGCGCTCCTATAGTTCTGACTTATACATTGATTTGCATATCACCTTGCATATAGGCTATGAACAACCAGATGGTAATTATGCTGCACCAGATGTGCGATGTTTGTATATGATTCTGTGACTTCAAGGCTCTAAATGGTCCTTTTCTACAAGACCCTTCTATGACACTTTTCTGATGTTAGAGAATGATATCCATTGTGGTATATTCTAACAAATAACACTAGCTCATCAAAATTTATAGCGTTGGTATTGATCATTGTCATAAACGGATGATGCAACTATGCGACAAGTAAATGATGTTTTAGCTGTTCTATATTGTATATAAGCTACCTTGTGAAAAAGTTTTTCAAAGATGATTGACAAAAGTATTGCACTTTTAATAATTATTTTACAACTAATAAAATAGATCAATGATCTTATCGTTTTTGAATATGATAAAAGTTTTTGACAGAAAAAATAAGATAACTGATCGTTTATTTATTTGTTTTACTTCGTGTCTATATATCATTTTCCTATACGGAATGCACTACCAGAAAAGTTAGAATTTATTTTTAAAATTTAATCGAATTCATTAATTCTTTTTGACCATAATATAAATAAAAAATGCATTTTCAGATTGTATAAATGTGTGTGCAAACAAAACGTGAGATACTATTGGCCTTTCGATATGAAATACGATCATAAAATATGAAACGAGAATTTGTTTACTTGCATAATAAGGAATATATATTAAATATCATTTGATTTTTTGAGAAAACAATGAAAGTGAAAATCATGTTAAATAATAAGTAGACTACCATTAAACGTAAAAAATATACATACTTCTTTACATCATGAATCATTCTGCGAGAAAAACAATAATATATTATAATAACAGACATTTATCACAACCTTATAGGATGCTGCTCCCAGAATTCAAAAATGTAACTGTGCAAAATAAAATAACAATGTCATTAAGCATTAAAATGCAGAGAAACATGGTTTTTTAAAAAACGCATATCACAAAATGGTGGAAATCGCAAACAGAAAACTACTTTGAAATGAAAAAAAGTGCTTCGTTAGGCAATTTATAAAACGATTGTAATGTTTTTTCACGTATCAAACAAAGATACTAACAGGTTTTTCCTATAAAGCAAACCATAAGCTATAAAAAGTGTCGTCAGAAATGGGTTCAATAAAATTATGATTAAAATGGACGCTAGGACCTTATACCCTTCAAAGACAAACGTAGCAAAAAATAGTGTGTTAAACGAAATACATACAATAGAAAATCTGATATACCTAAGACTAAGACTGTTTTATTCACGAAAAGTGAGTCATCAAAGGTCACCGACCTGTAACAACAATAACTCAAGCCAAGCAACATCAAAAGAGTAAAAAAAGAACAGAATAAACACGACAATTAACATTAGGACCAGAAGTAGTAAAAAGGAAAAAAAGGAAGTAAAAAAGTTTTTTTTAAAAAAAATAAGAAAAAAAGAACAAATATAAATTCATAACTGACATGTTTCACTGGAAGAGATACTAAAGTAAAGCTGTTTTGAAAGACGTTAAAGAAGAAAGACAAATAACTGACTCTGGGAGATTATTCCAATCAGCAATAGTTGAATA